AGGTGAAAGGGGGCGGGAATTAAGCCAAAACTTTTTTTGAAAAACCCAGGTTGGGTATTGCCCCCCTTGCCCAGGTGTGGCCGGCCCGCGTTGAAGAGCATTGCCAAAGGCGGCCGAGAATACGTGTAGAGCAAGCACGGCACTGAAGTCGCCCGTTGAATGCGATGGTCGGCTTATCAGAAACAAGGGCATTGGACGTGGGCGGGGCCTGCAATTGCACCAGAAACCTTTGATCGTTCTCGTCGCCAACAAAAAATCAAAAAAAAAATAAAAGGAAGAAAATCGGGACCGTGGACTCACCATCGCTGCAGGGTCTCGGCTAGGTTTCCAGGGTCCGTTCAACCGCCCTTGATTCGCCGCAGCTGCGCCGAGGCCCATGAGTTGAGTGAGTTGAGTGGTTATCAGGCATGGTGAGGTGAGTATGTATGGTCTGCAATCACGGCCACTCTTCTCCCATGCACGCGCTCACAAACCCCCTACCCAAGTGCGCCCCGAGTAGCTGCAGAACATGGCCTGGCTCACCTTTCTGTGCGCAATCAGATAGCCAGGCCACGGCATGTGAAGTGAGGGCAGTCAATGACGACTCCCAACCAGACTCCAGGATCAAAGCCAATGCTTTAGGCGGGTAGTATGCCATACATATTGATGCACCATCGAGGCAGGCCACCCCACCCTCTGCTACCTAGCTCCTACTGGCCTACCCGACATCCCCCGAATGGCTCGGAGACGGCACGAAACCAATGCACGGCATCAAAGTGCAAGTCTGACGGAATACTTGCCATGCACATGCATGTTGGCCGTGGGAGAGTCTACTACGTCCTCTCTTGGTACCTACTCTTGATTGTTATCGAGTGGTTGTTGTCAGCATCGACGACCCTTGACCCGTCTTTCGAATCACCCCACACGCATTGTCCCTCGCAGCAGGGCGGGAAAGTCAGATGACGGTTACGAGTATAAAATGGGCAAAAATTATTCATGTACAAATTCCATGCCTCCAACGTTCTCATTCATATAACATGTCCTCGTCTGATTTTGCCTCCGACAACCAGCTAGGTACAACGGTCGTCGTTGATAGAAGCTTTGACTCCCTTCTCCAGACTTTCACATGCCAAAAGAACCACAACCACAGTGGATCACAAGCTCAAACGATCGCCCCTAGCATCTGATCACGGATCCTGCCAGGCATCGTGATCCAACTAAAATAGAGTAGCCCTGCAGTGTGCGGGGATCGCGACAAGGTTCCGCCAGCCAGCACCTCTGGGGTACGTCTCCAGTGTCATCTGCTCTTTTGAACAGTCCTCCAGGCCCAAGTTGCAAGAAGAGCAGCCACTCCCAATCTTCCGACTAGTGCCGTCGTCACAGCCTTTCTCACGAGCGGATAGTAGCCTTCCAAGAGCGAGTTTACCGCAGCACCTCGAGCGACCATCTTTGCACGTCCGATCTGTCCCCACTCCATTCCAACCCCCAGGCCGGCGATGCCGACTTCCCCAGGTTTCGCCTCGTACAATGCCCCTATGGCTTCACTGCCTATGCCGGGGAAGTCCTGCATCGGTACTTTGTCCAAGTCCTCGCCAGTGGTGGTTGAACATAGACTTGGTCTAGTTGTCGACATTTCCAGTGCTCTCTGTCTCCGGAAACGGTAGGACATTGCCCACATGACAAATCTCACATCCCAGTTCGTGAACGTAGGATAGGTCCACAGTTCTAGCGCGTTGTGTGGTGGGACGTGTTCTAGGAAATCACTCACAACACCTAGCGTCAGCCCCCACAGCAGAAGTGGTGGTTTCCCATCCTTGTGTCTGGCCCCAGGACCCATCAATGCCTCCTTCACACTGCCGAACAACCCTTCAGCTGGGGCAGCACCATCTGGTATGAAGCCTGGTGTAGTTGCGCAATGCGTAGAGTGTGATGGCACCAGCCGTATAGCAGCAAACATCATTTTCGAAAGCATGGCCTGCAGGAACCAACGCTTAATGCCCAGTTCAGACTTTGCTAAACGGGCGCTGACATCGGCGTATTCGTAGGTGCGAAGACTTGGCGAGAGGAGAGCTCGAATGGATACCCAATGCGACGACGCGACTTCGGTCGGTTGGAGTCGTTGTGCGGGATAGGCTGGGGATGTAAGGAGATATATGAATGGACAAAGTACCATCAATCTAGCGGTCTAGGGTCAGTATACAACAATGCTTTGCAAAGCACTGCAACGTACGGTATTTTTCCCCAGCTCGTGGTGACAATCCGCTGCGGCAGATTACCAACAACAATTGCATTGTCATGACCGAGATCAACGCCCACCTCTTCCAGAGCCTCTCGCGCAGCTGTCACTTCATCGTCCTCATCCTCGGGATCTCGCTTCCCACCTGGAAGCGCTACATGTCCATTCCACTTGTCGCCAACTCTCGCCGCTCTCTTTATGAACAGTATCTCTGGATCTCCATACTTCACCCAGTCTTGTTCGAAGAAGGCGTTCAGGTTCGTTTCGAAATCAGTCTTATGGCTAGAATCTGATGTTACCGAGGACTGCCGACGTTGTCGTGTGGACGAGTGGGCTAGAAGAGGCTTGTCTAGCGACTCCGGCCAGTGTGAATAACAAGGTTGTACGCGCAGGATAAGCGCAACTGAGGCGCGTTTAGGTACGTTTGGGGGACACGCGACTTCGGGGTAGGGATGGGCATTGAGCTCCAGTAGTACTGTCTTAAGATGAGTGATGATTTCGTTGGTGCTCGCCATAGTCTGTGAATGCTCAGGAAGTGCTCCAATGTCTGCAGGACGTAGTGTTAGTGCGACGCAGCAGGTACCGGTAGCCTCTAAAGGCTAGAGACGCGACCGGGGCTCGTGGTCCCACTCCTTGACATGTAGAAAATCGGATATAGCAAAGCAATTTGATTTACGTTGGCTTGATGTGGATTTAATGAAATTATGGGCTCAATGTAATGTTGCTTAGGCTTTTGGTCGTCTTGCGAGATGGATGAGGAAGAGCGAACCGAGGTGTATACAATCTTCAACATGATTCGCTTGCACTTCATGCGGAACGGGTTGTGACATGGCTGCGATCTTTGCGACGGTACGTTAAGAACCATGTACCGAATGATCACACACTGTGGAGGGTTTTTTTGGGAGTCTTCCAGTCTGCAATCGAGACATGACGGCGAATCCTTTGATGATGTTGGCAGAAGCTCGTTTAGCTACTCGGAGCTTTGGCCAATCGCCGCTGCCCGACAATACCGGTAGGGAAGGAGGGGCATGATGAGGTAGGCGGGGGCTGCGCTCTGGAGAAAAAAAAAGACTCTCACAAGTCGCACACGACTTGTTGTGATACCCAGGCACCCCTACTACTTCTCTTGTCTGTTTCATTCAATTAACGTGCTTGTCTCTACATCAGCCACTATGACAGGCCAAAAGACAGGTAAGATCTACTAAACATCAACATCTCACTTGTAAAACTGATTGCGACAGCCATCCTTTCCGTCTACGACAAGACAGGCCTTCTCGACCTGGCCAAAGGCCTTCACGAATGTGGCGTCCGACTTCTCGCATCTGGCGGTAC